AGAATCTCCATGTAATAGCAAAAGAAAAAATCAACAATTTCATCCGAGGGCATTTCCACGGTCACTACAATTTTGATCTGGATAAAACTTTGTATATGTTTACGGCTGGGCGATACGAATTCATTAATAAAGGTGGTGATATATTTATCGAATCATTAGCCAGGTTGAATCATTATTTGAAAACAACAACAGATCCGCGATATGACAATGTAACCGTAGTGGTTTTCATTATTTATCCTGGTTAGTATACTCAGTTTGTAAATCTCAAAGCTAGCAAATATTGACTATTGTTTTTATTTTGTAAGAAAATTGTGCGCAAAAGTAAAAGTATTTTGGCTAAAGTTTTCATGACTGTATATATTAGACGATAGATTTAATATTGCTGGTGTTTGGTATGCACAATTTTTTTTAAATCCAGTTTTGTCACAGTCTGGCTTGATTGATATTTAGTTACCTTTTATGAATTCGAATTCAGCCCTAGCAAATTCATTCAATGTTGAATCACTTAAAAGACAAGCAGTAACAAAGCAGTTACGAGATACTATTGACAAAATCAAAGAGAATATTGGAGCGCGAATATTCGACTCATGCCTGAAAGGATATATTCCCAACATGGAGCAGTTACTGTTACCTGCTGAAATTGTACAGGTTAAAGTTTTTTTTACTGAGCATGCAATCACTGTCACTCATTTATCGAAAAGCAGCAAGAACTCTGTGCTTTTTGGGCAATTTTTTATTCTAAGTTTAGAAAAATCATATCATGCAATTCTCATCACCATTGTTATTGAACACTGCATACTCCTGACTTCATTTTTCTTGCTAACATCTGAAAAACGTCATATTGTTCAATTTCGCGTAACTATCTCTTGACAAGTAACCACTATTACTTGACATTACTGATGACAATGAAACTTGAATCTTGAAATCTTAACCAGACAAAAAAGAATGAAACAAAGATGGATGCACTGCCGTAAATCCCTTCTGACCTACTCATACTGCTTCTGATCTTCATGACTGACTGACAATAAAAACATAACCCAATTGGGAACGGTATTTCTCCTCACTTCTTATTTGCGAAAATTCCAGTTGAAACGATGTATTATGGCTACAGCAAAAGATGAGCTCCCACCAATTTGTACACACAATATGCTAGATTCATCTGACCAAGTATTAAATGCACTCAGACGCACAAACCTTATAAATAATCCCAGTGATCGAGTCAAAGTTATTTTTCACCCAGGTAAAAGTTATTTCAAATTCTTTTCTTCCTTCTCATTTCTTGATTTCTGTACATATCACACTGTTAGGTGAATTAAATGCAAATGAAATTCACATGCTATTATTTTCTACATTAACTACAATACAAGCAACAGAAGTGACACCAAACAAAATAACAGTAAAGAAGTCAAAAATAGTATTCAGTGCATGTTGCACCCACAAGAAATACTTTAAACAACAAAAAAGACAAGAAGAACAAGTAAACAGCTAATTTCAAAATAATTAAAAATGAAAAATGAATGCTACTTACAACAGATTTAAGATTGAGAAAACAATTGGTTTTCAAGAAGAAAGTGGAAAATTAGAGTAAATTAATTAATATCATGTTAGTTATCACGATTTTTCAGAATTCTGATGGGAAAGACCAAGTAGAAAGAAAACAAATAAACAAAAATATAAGTAGAGAATTGTAGCACTTTATCGAGAACCTTGTTTCGTAGGTTACGGCAACCAAAGAGTGTAAAAATCCATCATCATTGTTGATGGACGTGATATTGCTTTTCAGAAGCACTTTAATTACAGCATTAAAATTCTTGTGAAGGATCCATTATTAAGCAGTAATTTGATCCCTCATTTTTTGACAACATACTCCAGCAGCATTTCTTTAAACAGCTGCTGTTCAATCTACGATCCCTGCAACAAATATAAATGTAAAACTTCAGTACTGCAAATTTTGACACCTAAATTCTTTTTCTATTATCTTGTCAAGTGCAAGATTGTAACTTACAAACATATATTTCGAAAACCAAAGATTCAGCGTATATAATTTATTTTTTCTCATAATGCTTCCATTTACAAACCAGTCTTAATCAGTTGATGATAGT